TGTATATATATATATATATATATATATATATATATTATAATAATATTTAGTGTATTAAGCTCTACTAGCTGGCCCGTCACTGTACCAGCGAACCCTAGACCCTAAACCCTAAACCCTAAACCCTAGACTGCACTGTCGCTGTTGTTGCTGTATGTAATGGAGACAGAGACAGAGAGAGAGGGACGCAGACACCCCAACTGCGTTTCTGCTGTCTCCACTAGTTACTAAAGAAGTTTGCTGCTGCAGCAGATGCTGCATGCAGAAATGTAAAGCCCCAAGAACACTGGGGTGTATGCGCACCTTTTGGAGTGTATGTGCACCTGTATATATGCATGCGGATTGTCTCCTAAGTACTGTGGGGTGTATATGCACCTCTTGAGAAGAGACAAAGAGAGAAGAAAAAAAGGAGACAATAAAATGCATGCATATAGAAGATATATACAAACCACAGGCAACGGCTGAGGCTCAAGCAAAACAAATAAACAAAACAAAAACATATAAGCACTAAACAACAGGGGGAACAAACAAATAAAGATAAAGAGCTGAAAGAAAAAACAAATGTACACTGAGCTTGCTCTGTTGCTTATAGAGAAAAAGACCATATACAAATCTCCGCTGCATGCACTTGCATGCGGAGGAGACGGGTTTGTGGGGCCCACAGAGAGCCTCGCTGTCTCTCTGCTTTCTCTGTATTTCTCTGTGCGTTTCTAACCACAGCCTAAACCCTAAACCCTTCTGTATATATAAGGGTTTGGGGTTTAGGGTTTAGGGTTTTCCGGCGGTTTTTCTCCACGAAGCAAGCAAAAGTTTTATTATTTAAAAAGAAAAAAAGCAATAAATATATAAAAGTAACAGAAAAACAATTCAAATGCAGCAATATACACTTGTGCTGTTTCTGTATTGGGGTGTCTATGCAGCTCTCTGTCTCGAGGGAGGTGATGGGGCGTTTCTTTTTGTTTTTGTTCTTTCTTTTTTAATTTTATTTATAATTCGAGTGAAATATAATAATATTATTTGTTAAATTAAATTAAATTCAAAAAAAAAACGAAAACATTAACGTAAGCGGGGCCCCCCAGCTCGGGTGTATAGGCAGCTCGCGACGTTGACCAGTGGTGAGGCCGTCGCTAGTGTCTATGGTGCGCTCCGCTGCTGCACGTGTTTATGTTGTATTTATATATTTTAATTATTTGTAATTAATTTTTTTCTTTTTTTATTTGTTTTATGTTTGATTTCTACCTATTGAAGGCCACATAACCAGCGCGGATGCCGCCGCCCGCCGCAGCTGCTGCTGCTGCTGCTGCTTCTGCTGCTGCTGCTCTGGAGACGCGGGAGGATCTGCACGATCCCGATCCCCAGTCTCTTGCAGCAGATACCCAGCTGTTCTCTGCTGCTCCTTCTTCTCCCCCTGCACGACCCCGGAGCTGGGGGGCCCCCAGGGGGTCACGGGGGGCCCCACGGCGTTCTGTCCTCGCATCGATTGCTGCTGCGCTGCCGTTGCTGGCGCTTCTGCTGCTGCTGACGGTATGTAGGGTCCCCAGGATCAGAGACCAGGCGGGGGGGGGGACCCCCC